CCGCTCACACGGTCTGGTTGAAGCTTGCATTCCGGGGGAGACAGACAAGTACAAAGATAAATCGTGATGTTCTGGCAGGTGGCGAGGAGGGCACGGTTCCATTGTCCATGTTCTTGCTGCGTAACTCCCGTGAGGTTCTGATTCAGCGGGTCTGGGCGGGACCAGGGCATCCGTGACTGGGATAAGTTCTCTGGGCGCATCTGAGGACACCAGTTGTGAGAACCAATTCTGGGTCCTGTCTGCTTTCTTGTTTTTATTATATACGTGTAGTATATAATATACACTGAGTGGCCAGATTATTATGACCACCCCATCAGTACAATGAAGTGAAGTAGTTACGAAAATAATGATAATAATAAAATCTTGAGAGTATTTGCTTAGGAGGTTTTCAATATTCAGTATTTTTGGAAGTGTCAATGAAGTACTGATGGGGTGGTCATAATAATCTGGCCACTCAGTGCATGCATGTCTGTATATTCTACTGAGTATCTTCTCATTTTTATAAAAAGCATGATTTCCAGTGGTCTTATAGGTTCCCGCAATATGAATGGATCATAAAGTTTAAAAGATTGCGCTCATTTTAATATATGTTCAATTTCTACTATTGCAAATTATAAACATGCCTCTATATAAATGCTTGCCTACCTTCTGACGAATTCTTTCTGATCGGTTCTTAGAATTGAAATGACTAGATCAAGAGATGTGCCTTCTTTAAGACCTTAAAGCATGTGGCTAAACTATCTTCCAGGAGAGTTGTAATAGTTTATATACAACAGTTATAAAATTGTTTTTCTGACCCCGCTCAGCCGGTTTTCGATGATGCGATTATTTTTATCATTGATAATTTGACAGCTAAAAACTGTTTTCTCCTTATAGTCTCCGTTTGCATGTGTTTGATTATAGAGAGGCTAAACTTGTTTTTCCTATGTGAAAAATGAAAGGAGTGTGAGTGTGGAAGCGGCTGTTTTCTATAGGAAGGCAGACCTCAGGCCACCTCCGTGCAGCCTGCAGGGAAGCGGGGCGGGGGGACCTGGGGAACAGGACGCCCCGCGGAGGAGTGCGAGGCCCCGGCCCTGGGAACTGCGCAGCGAAGGCCGGTGGTCCGTTTAGTGAACCGGGACCCCGGGTGGGGCGTGAGGCGAGGCTGGATGTGAAGCTGACCCTTCGGGAAGCGCACCTTGGGGAGGGTGAGCGAGTGTTTGTTGGCTTCATTCTTTCTGCTGAAGAAACGCTGAGTAAAACGAACTTTGGAAGAAGGCAGCACTGAACTTGCATCCTCTCCAATAAGGGGACATCTGTCTTACTCTGAGGTCAGGTTCTATAGGATTCCTTACATTATGCAATTATATATGCATGTTTCTTTAAATGGTTTGCAAATTTCGTTTTTAATTTCCATCAGGTTCCTAAAGACTGTTTCTTTGTTTCAAAGATGGTTTCTTTTTTAAACTTACATTTCCCTTCTTTTCCTCTTGTGCTCATTTTCCCCATTCTTTACTTTCTGTTTCATCACTATCACTAGATTAACTACCCCCAATATAATATGGGAAACAAAATTAATTCTCTTTTCAATTTCTTTACTATTTTAAAAGGTGGTTTCCTCTCTCTCTCCTTTTCCTTTTGTCCCTCCCTCCCTCCTTCTCATTCTCCACTTCCTCTTAAGTCCAAACCATAACCTGTTGTTCTTTTTAAAATATATTATTTAATATACACAAAAAGTTATATAACTTATGTTGGTTAAAAGCAAAATACAACAACAAATACACATGGAGTGACCACTCAATCCAACAATTAAAATAGAACACAATCAACTAGGATGGCTCTAATAAAACAGGCAGTAACAGGGCTGGGGATGTTGTGGAGAAATTAGAACCCTGTGCATTGCTGGTGGAATGACTGACGGTGCAGCCATTCTGAAAAACAGCCTGGCAGTTCCTCAAGTTAAACTTTAGAGTTACCGTGACCCGACACTGCCTCTCCCGGGTATATATCGGAGAGTAATGAAAACAAACGTGCAGGCAAAAACTCGTTACCAACCTTTATAGCAGCATTATTTACAGTAACCCAACGAGGTTATAGCAGCATTATTTATAGCAGCATTATTTGTAATAACCCTAATGTCCATCACTGATGGATAAACAAAATGAGACACAAACATACACTGGAATATTATTCATCCTTAAAAGAGGTGAAGTACAGATACATGCTACACACGATGAACCTTCAGTCGCAAAACACCGCATATTATAGGATTCCCTATATACTGTATGTCCAGACAGGCAGCTCTACAGAGACACTAAAGTACATTAGCAATATCTAGGGCTCAAAGGAAATGGTGACTGCTACTGGCTACGCGGCATTTCCCTTTAGGTGACTAAAATATTTTGGAATAGGGCAAATGGCTGCACAGTTTTGTGACTATATTAAAAACCACTGAATTGTATACTTTAAAGGGGTGAATTTTTTTAATTAACATTGACATTAAACATTATTTTATATTATTTTCAGGAGGGGTGAATTTTTTGCTATATGAATACATATTTTAACTTTAAAAATATAAAAAATAAATAAATGGGAGGGTTGAGGGTTTATAAAGCAAGGAAACAAACCACACTTACATCTACTTGAATATACCCCCCATCCCATCTTTTATTTTATTTTTTTAATCTTCACCCGAGGATATGTCTTTATTGATTTTTGAGAGAGAGAAACATCAACTGGCTGCCTCCCGTACATGGTCTGACCAGGGATTGAATCTGAAAGCTAGATATGTGCCCTGACTGGGGGAATCAAACCCGCAAACTTCTGGGGCACAGGACAGAGCTCCAAGCGGCTGAGCCACCTCACCAGGACCCTATCCCATCTTTACTCATCCCCTCGTCACCCAGGTCACCACTACGCAACTGTTCTGTTTACCTTTTATTATTTGATAGCTGCCCGCCATTTGGTGTCCACAATGACTTAATAGTACAAGGCCAAACATTTTAAATAAAAAAAAAATTTTAGTTAAAGAACAGGTAGAAGTTTAGCAAATAAAGCACATTCCCAGTGTTTTTAAAAAATATGTTAAAGAAGTAAATTTTCATTTATTACTGATTAGAAAAATACAGTATTAAATGCAGTTCTGATACTTTTCTAAGAATTTTTTATCAGAGTATGATTTACATATAGTGAAATGCGTGATCTTAATTTTACAGTTTGATTAGTTTTGGCAAACACATTCATGTAACCCATACCCTTACCAAGATAAGGCTTAACTGCCCGGCCGGCGTGGCTCAGTGGTTGAGTGTCAATCTATGAACCAGGAGGTCATGGTCAGGACACATGCTCATGTGCAGGAGGCAGCCAATCAATGATTCTCTTTCATCATTGATGTTTCTATCTCTCTCTTTCCCTTCCTCTTTGAAATCAATAAAAAATATATATATATATATTTTTAAAAGCAGAGCTGAAAGTGACTCTACCAGTAAAGTCTGTGTTTTTCCTGGCCCATGGTGTTTGGGCAGAAGAGAACACTGAAGCTCGGACTGGGATGGCTGTGGAGCCTCAGAGGTGAGGAAGTGGGCTGCATTTCCTACTCTGTGTTGCCACCTGGAGCAGCATACAGCTCAGCACCATTCCCAGCAGGAATGGAGAGTTTGCCTGGCACCAACCACCCGGACAGATCTGTTTAGTACCTCTCTGAGTGTCAGAGCTGGGAGTAGACTTACCATCCATAAGTTCTGGCCCTTAACACCCTTAAGCCCCAGTGTCCTATAGATCCTAAACCTGGCATTTCTCTACCCTCAACCCCTTCAGGCTGGGCCTAAGCAGAGCCTGGGTGCTGCCTTACAGAAGTTGAATAATTCAGGTCCCAAGTGGCCTGAAGTATCAGTTTCAGTTTCTCTATTCCCTTGCACAGGGGTAATTAAGCTAATGAAAAGGGCCCAGAGGAGAGGCCTGCTGTCCTGTGCCTCCGAGGGATCAGGACTGATGGAGTCCCTGACCCTGATGGAGAATGCACCAGGCTCATCCAGAGCCCAGGTATGGGGAATGGAAGCAGGAAGTCAGGGGGGCTAAGATAGAAGGAGGAGAAAAGAAGAGAGAGTGAAGAGGAAGATCTGAGTCAGAGAAGCCAAGAGAGACTAAGAAAGAGTTACAGAGAAATAGACAGAAGGAAACAGAGACAGGGAAGCTGAGTGTGAGGTAAAGGGAGTGGGAGGGGCAGAGGAAAGGGCAGAGACAGAGGCCAGAAGAGCCAAGGTCCAGCAGAGAAGGAGAAGTACTAAAATCCAAGGACAAGTACAAAAAAGGAGAGTCAGATAACCAGATGGGCTGCAGGGCTCCCCAGTGGGTAGCTGGACCCACCAAAGATCTTCCTTCTGACTTCCAGGTGTTGTCCACACCATCCTTGCTAGCAGGCCCTGATGCTGCCCTAGGTCGAGCCAGGAGGCTCACACCCAGAGACCTGCCCCGCAGGGCCATGGGGCCCAGGAGCCACTGCCTTGGCCTCTCCAGACTGGGCCTTCTGTTCCTGTTCCTGCTCCCACTCCTTCCAGGTATGAAGCTCAGTAAACCAGGCCTGGCCTCTCTGGGTGCTGCTGCTGTTCTTGTCCTCTCCAAATATCTCTCTTTTCATTTCTCTCTGCAGTTACCTATGCAGGAGAACAAGCTGTCGGGGGAGTGTGGAGGAGGGGGTGCAGAAAAGGGTGAGAGATTTGCCTGACTGGGGTGGGTGAGGTGAGAGGGGAGCTTCCAGAGATAGGACTGGAAAAGCTAGGGGCCCTTGAAGGCCAGGCTGAGTTGGGGCTTTATTCAGTAGGCAATGAGGAGCCATTGAATAGTTTTAAGCAGTTACTGGCCTGGTCAGATTTGTGTGTTCAAAAGCTTGATCTCGCCTGGCTGGTGTGGTTCAGTTGGTTGAGCATCCTCCCATGTACCTAGATGTTGCCGGTTCATTTCCAGACAGGGCACATGCCTGGTTTCAGCCTGATCCTCAGTGGGGAGGCGGGGGGGGGCGTGCAGGAGGTAGTCGATCGATGTTTCTCTCATCAATGTTTCCCACTCTCTCTCTCTCCCTTCCCCTATCTCTAAAATCAATTTTTAAAATATATTAAAGCCCGGCCGGTGTGGCTCAGTGGTTGAGCTTCAACCTATGAACCAGGAGGTCACAGTTTGATTCCCAGTCAGGGCACATGCCCGGGTGGCGGGCTCGATCCCCAGTGTGGGGCATGTAGGAGGCAGCCAATCAATGATTCTCTCCCATCGTTGATGTTTCTATTTTCCCCTCCCTCTCCCTTCCTCTCTGAAATCAATAAAAATATATATATATTTTTTAAAAACTTGCATGCTAAAATTCTCAACAAAATATTAGCAAATCGCATCCAACAAAACATTAAAAAGATCATACACCATGAACAAGTGGGATTTATTCTGGGGATGCAGGCTGGTACAATATCTGTAAATCAATAAACGTATACATCAGATAAACAAATTGAAAGACAAAAAATAGCTTGATCTCTCAGAAATGTGGAGGAAGATTAGAGAGGCTGGGCCTGAGACCAGAGGGAGCAGTGAGGAGGCTGCTGCTGCTGTGGTCCATGAGAGGGAGGATGAGGCCTGAGCTGAAGAGGCGATTTAACATTCAAGAGATGCTCAGCAGTATGGCTGACAGGATTTGGGTATTGGTTGGTCTGCAGGGGTAAACGACAGGAGGAGGGAGAGTGATAATTCCTAGGTTTCCAGCTGAGGTCACTGGGGGGTGCTGTTTGCTGAGATGGGGAACATCAAACAAGGAGGTTTCAGAGCATGGGGGGAGGAAATGAATTCCTGTTGTGACCTAGAGAGTTTAAGGTGCCTACAGGACATTCAAGAGTGGATTGTTGTATATATGCATCTGGAGCTCAGGGGACCGGAGAAAAAGGAGAGGAGGGTCAACAACAGGATTCTGAGAAGCAATACTTAAGTCAGGAACTAAGGACAATATGGTGTGTCACAAAAGCCTAGGGATGGGGTGTGTTTTTAGGTGGGACTGGCCTACAGTGTCAGAAGCCTTGAAGAAATTAACTGAAGTGCAACAGGAGGAGTGGAGGCAGGTTTGAGAAACTGGAGGGGGCTGGGCAAGGGGGTTCAGATGCCTGGGTGAGAGCTGGCGCTCTTGTGGCCTATATAGGCCCTTCTAGCATTTGTGGCAAGGCAGACCGAATCCAGGTCCTTGGGAAGGGAAAGGCAGGGAAGAAACCCATCAGCCTTGCTTCAGAAAAAGAGTATCAATTCACTCCACCTACTTCACCTCATTCATCCCTGGAGGCAGGCCAGGGAACTAGAGTCACAGCCTGGGGACAGAGGGCAGCCATCAGGAGGACCAGTCAGACCACTGTGAGAGTGGAGCAGGTGACGGCCCCAGGCTTGTGGAGGTGCAGGGTGTGAGCAGAGGCTCCTGCACTAGAGTAAACCTTCTTGCTTGTCCCCCAGGATGCTTGGGAGCTGAGGGCAGGCTGGCTCACAAGCTGTTCCGTGACCTTTTTGCCAACTATACAAGTGCCCTGAGACCTGTGGCGGATACAGACCAGACTCTGAACGTGACCCTGGAGGTGACATTGTCCCAGATCATTGACATGGTACATTGTGGTTGTACAACTGTGGAATGTGCTGGTGACAGTGTCAAGGAATTTGGGGGTGGGGGACTGGGATGATTCACCAAACAATTCTTTTCTGTAAACATTAATATTAACAATAACAGCTACTAACTTGGATACTGTTAGGTGCCCACAGTGTGGGGGGCGGGGGACAGGTATTACGCAGGGCTATGCAGCGACGTTCTACCCCGGCTCAACACAGTTAATTCTCAACCCATGGCAAATACTGATTCAGAGTCCCGTGGGCGTAAAAACCTATCTGTAACCACATTCAGCACAAACTACAGAATACATCCTCTTACACCAGTAATTCCTCCCCTTTCAGTCCCATAGAGAACAGGAGCTGCAAGCTTAGAGTGAGAATCTAGTCTTGAGGAATCCGCATTTTACGTTGTTTTAAGAAGCCTGGTTTGTGCTTGCACTGGAGACAGGAGCAAGCATAAGCTACACTGGGGAAGTTTGATCATTTTGTGTGTGAGGATTTCTGGAACTTCAGGCACATTTGTTCAGTCTAAATTCCAAAAACAGTTTGCAAAGTCAAACAGAAATGATTTGTGGGTTCATTGTGCTTAGGGATTAGCTGTACCCTTGTTTCGTTTCATTGGTCAAGAGATGGTACTAAACTGTTCATTTTAAAGTGTGGAGCACAGGCGGAGAACATATGTTCTGTGTGTGCTGACATGACGACAGACAGACTTCAGCATGAAAGGTGGAGCCGTGGGCACAGGCAGTAAATTCCTGGAACAGTGTTATCTTATCAGAACGAGGACTGACTGTCTGGGTGACAGTCCCTGCGCAGAGGGTTTCAAAGTCCCATTGTGCTATCAAAAGAAGCACCTGGGAGCGGCTGCCAGTGGTGGTGCCATGGCTGGAAGAACTTTCTCCTGGGCAGCACTCGGATGAAACAGAGAAGGCAAGGCATGTCGCCTCCAACTGTGGTTCTGTTCCTTGTTTATTTGGCGTTTTCCCTTCATGGGCCTGAGCACCTGTCATGCTCCAGTCCTCAGCTTGATATCTGCAGGGACTGAAGACGTGTTTAAGTTTTGCTGGTCAAGGAGCCTACACTCCAGTGGGAGATAAAGATGTGTGCGCATCTGAGCGTTAGAGAGCAATACAGACAGTAAGGACCCCAGCCCTCAGCTTGCTGGATGCCCTGAGGGTCCCAGCCCCCAGCTTGCTGGATGCACCGAGGGTCCCAGCCCCCAGCTTGCTGGATGCACTGAGGTTCCCAGCCCCCAGCTTGCTGGATGCACTGAGGTTCCCAGCCCCCAGCTTGCTGGATGCACTGAGGTTCCCAGCCCCCAGCTTGCTGGATGCACTGAGGTTCCCAGCCCCCAGCTTGCTGGATGCACTGAGGTTCCCAGCCCCCAGCTTGCTGGATTTCCTCTTTGAAATCAATAAAAAATATATATATATATATTTTTTAAAAAGATAAGACTTAACTAACACCTCAGAAAATTCCCTCTAGATAGAAAATTCCCCTCATGATTAATTGTAACCTTTGCTAGTCAATCCTTCCCCAGGAGCAACCACTGACCTGGTTTCTATCAGCTTCGATAGCAATGGAACCACACAGTGTTTGTGTCTGTCCTCTGTCTCTCTTCTTGCATCCAGCATAATGTTTGTGAGATTTATTAATTTCTGTTGCTGTATTCGTTATTTGCTCCTGTTTTTCTTCTTAGTCGTTCTGTATTATGAATGTATTGTAGTTGAGGTGCTTTTGAGCTATGTCCAGTTTTCATCTATTATGAATGAAGTTGCTATAAGCATTTATTCTTGTGTAAGTTTTTATGTGGACATATGTTTTTATTTTATCTTAGGTGAATACCCAGGAGTGTATTTGATTTCTTAAGAAACTGCGAGTTTTCTGAAGCAATTGTTCCATCTTACACTCCCAGCAGCAGTGTACGTGAGAGTTTCAATGGCCCCACCAATGTCCTCACCAACATTGGCATTTTCATATTTTCTCTTTTTGTAATATATTTTTTAATTAATTTCAGAGAGGAAGAGAGAGGGAGAGAGATAGAAACATAAATGATGAGAATCATCAAGTGGCTGCCCCTGTATGCCCCCTACTGGGGACCGAGCCCACAACCTGGGCATGTGCCCTTGACCAGAATCGAACCCAGGCCCCTTCAGTCCACAGGCTGATGCTCTACCCACTGAGCCAAACCAGCTAGGGCATAAATACTTTTTAAAAGTTCTTTTAGGTAGAACTTTAAAAGTTCTAACTAACCAAGGAGGTAAAAGACTTGTACACTAAAAAATATAATACATTGCTGAAAGAAATTAAAGAAAAAAAAATAAATGGAAACACATTCTTTGTTCCTGGACTGGAAGACATAATATTGTTAAAATGTCAATACTACTCAAAGTGATCTACAGATGCAATGAAATCCCTATCAAAATCCCAACGATAGAAAAATTCATCCTTAAACACATATGGAATCTCAAGAGACCTCAAATAGCCAAAACAATCTTGAAAAAGAAGAACAAAGTTGTAGGACTCACACTTCCTGATTCCAAAACTTACTACAAAGTTAAAGTATTCAAAATAGTACAGTACTGGCCTAAGTTTGGATGGACATATAAAAAAAACGGAACAGAATAGAATAGAATAGAATAGAGAGCCCAGAAAACAAAACAAAACAAACAAACAAACAAAAAAAAAAACCCTCACCTATATGGTCAAATGATTTTTGACAAGGGTGTCAAGACCAGTCATCAGTGGAGGGGAAGGAGGGGAGACAGTCTTTTCAACAAATACTGGGAAAGCTGAATATCCACATGCAAAAGAATGAAGTTGGACCCTTATTACACCCCGTATACAAAAATTAACTCAAAATAGATCAAAGACCCAAACATAAGAACTAAAACTATAAAACTCTTAGAAGAAAACATTGGGACAATATTGTGTGCTGTTTTTTAGCTATGACACTAAAAGTGCAGGTAACACAAAATAAACATTGGGATATTGTGTGCTGTTTTTTAGCTATGACACTAAAAGTGCAGGTAACACAAAATAAAATAGATAAATTAGACTTCATCAAAAAAAAAAAATTTTGTGCATCCAAGAATACTATCAACAGAAAGAAAAAGCAACCCAAAGAATGGAAAAAAATATTTGCAAATCATATATTTGCTAAGAGATTAATATCCGGAATATATTTTAAAAACTTCTAATTCAACAACAACAAAACAAACAACTGTATTAAAAATGGGCAAAGGCCCTAGCTGGTTTGGCTCAGTGGATAGAGCGTTGGCCTGAGGACTGAAGAGTCCCGGGTTCGATTTGGGTCAAGGGCACATGCCAGGGTTGCGGGCTCAATCCCCAGTAGGGGGTGTGCAGGAGGCAGCCAATCGATTCTCTCTCATCATTGATGTTTCTATCTCTCTCTCCCTCTCCCTTCCTCTCTGAAATTAATAA